CAGTTTTATTTGAGAACTCACATTTTGCACAAAACCAAGATGAACGTTGTTGGAGATAAATGGGAACATTAATTGTACATATAAACAACTGCCACCTCGTCAACCATTCCGTCGTTGGTAAGAAAATACTACACCATACAAACCCACATTTAATAATAATAATAATAATAATAAAAAACTTTATTCACTTAAGCAGTACACTGACAAAAAAAAATCAATTTTTTTTATTCCGCCAAACTGCTTAACAGTTTATTGGCAGACCGAGCTCCCTTTATTACATATAACACTGTACTTCTCAGATAAACTATCTGTCACAATTTTGTATCAGATAATTGAAATCAGAACATCTTAAAAATAGACATCAGAACATCTTAAAAATAGAAATCAGAACATCTTAAATGGCATGCACAATTGATCAACCACTAAATATCATAGTTTTCTAATTAACATCTGTTGGATTCAACCACACACCAATATAGGGAGGTAAATTATTTTAACATTGCTTTAATTAAACACTAATTTAGTGTAATGTGATCAATTTTATATATTCTAATGAGAATTGCCTACTTATTAGATCACATTCAATGGAATGTGATCTAATAAGTAGGCAATCTTCACACATCTCCTCTTTACTTATATTATAATGAATTAAATTGTGCAAAATTACACTTCTTGTTTAAGTTTTATTTGTTTAACACATTAAAGTTGACTCTTCTCAATCTTATTTATGGCATTATTATAAACTACATTACTCACTCACTAATTGCACATGATCCGTAACAGAACATTTAATTCGCAACATTAATGTATCAAAAAAAAGTCTAATTGTTCATTCGGATTCTGTCATTGAGAAATCCCGTGATTCGGTGTCCATATCCAAACGGATGATGTCCGACGGAAAAGCTGGAGTGTAATTAAGCGAAATCACATCAGATTAATTACTTTAATTACGGAAACGGAAGTCGCCCGCCGTAGCTTTTTACCCAGCAAGAATTCGAGTACTGGAAACTTAATGTCAACTTTAATACTTGACTCAATTACATTCCGTTATCTACTAAAAATAACATGAGATTAAAACGATGAATGGAGCTCCAGATGAATGCCGTCGTCCCACAAGAATTTCTTACGAAAAAAATCATAATTGAATATTTCCAACGACTATAATAAATCTTTCTTATTTATTATTACAACACGCAAAATTTATAGGATCAAAATGGTTAAAATTTTAATACGATTTAATATAAATTCCTCCTATTTTTTTCTTAAACTATTTGCATATATTTTAATAAGAATATTGAAATAGCATAAATAAGCAGCTTCTTGACAAAATATATTAGTTCTGATGAGGAAAATTCGCAAAAGCTCAAACGCGATCGCTTTTTCTGTAGCAGAATTAATGATCTCTAACACCTTAACGTGAGAACCTGTTAGGTGCCGATAAAAGCATATCAAATTACAAGTTTACATTTAAAAGCTTCTAACGCAAAAGCATACGAAATTGTTTTATGTTTACATAAATATTGTACATAGAAATTATATAAATATCTAAATTAAAAAACAGTTTCTATAACAACTATTTAGTTCAATAATGAGAATTCGTTTTTGAATAACGAATACTCTTTAAGTTAAGTTTAATTTAATTAATGACAAATTTGAAGCCGCCTTTGTTAATTTTCGTAGAAGAAAGTAACTTAATATATAATAGTATTTTTACCTATAATAGAATACTGCAATTGTTTTCTAAATCTCTCTTTATAGAAATTTTAATACACTAGAAAATCAAACCCAAGATGAATCCTTAAACCGATCGCGAATTTCTTTGGAATTGTTACAATTTACAAATTTTCGCCTATTACAAATAATTCAAGAAACATTTCATATTACTTTCTAATTATAATGTAAAATGATATGAGCTTACACACTCTAATTTTTTTTATTAATTCTTTTAATAGTTTTGCAACGCAAACGCTCAAAAGTAACTAACTTAAGTGAAAAATACAATACTGGGGAACAAAGATTCCAATCATATTACCTTTACACGCCCTTTAACGACAGATCTATACATACGCAAGCAAGTATGTCGTGCAGGTGTGTGCATAATCACTATATTGTGTTTATTTATAAGCGATTATCTCACAATTGATCGAATAAATATCAACTTAACGTCTTTATACAAACATACGTACAAAAGGTTTTTATTGCAGGCAACATTAACTTTATATGGCTAATGTATTCACAGTCGTTGCATCCTTGGGTAACAATGCTTTATTAATTATGCAAATACAGTGAACATTGAGAAAATATTTTGTTTAGTTAATTTTGCATTCGCACTGTTACAATTTATGTTATACAAAAAATACAAATCAGAAAAATTTACAACTTTCTTCGTTTTGTTGTGAATTCGGTTAAATAATGCTTAAAACGTAACTATGTAGCTTAGTCGTGCGGATTTGATTTTCAACAGTTGAATACCTCAAGAACTAATATCGTCCAAATTCAAAATAGAAAGTGTTTTAATAAATAAACCCTAATCTGTTCTGAAAACTGAACTTTATCCTACTAAGTTATATTATAAGAAAGATTAGAATAAACGTTTCTGTGGTCTTTGCGTTTTTTCATAGGAAACCTTTTTCGAACATTAACGTATCTATATTATTAAAAGAATCAAGTCAATCAACGGTGTTTAACTTATATCTCTAAATAAGGCTAATGTTTAGTCAACTGCACATTCAGTTATAGAAACTACTTTAAAATAACAACACATCATTTAAATAAGTTTCAAATTGTTAAAAACTTAAGAGCGCACTTTTCGATATCAATAAAAACTTTTTTAAACAATGCTTTTTATTGTAAATTTATTTTTTATACATTACAATATGTAACACAAATACTATATTGCAATGTTAATAAATAACAATATAGTTTTATTTAGTGAGTCAAGAGCAGCTGTGCGGATGTAGTGCGGGTAAATCACGCCCGCTCGCTCCGCAATTAGCGGTCGTGTGATCCGCGACTGTAGGCAAAGCCACGGGCGAAACAAGTCGTGCTTGCCAATACAAAAGTTTTTTTTTAATACGTAATAAAACTGCAAAAAAAATCTTTTAAAAGCATTTAATAATCACTATCAGGGTAAATAAACTTATTTTTTATTGCGTTCAGAATATGATTTACTTGTATAATTAAAAATGCTTGGTAATAGAACTAGTTATTGTTAAAGCACAGTACAAACTAAAAGGTTCTTCGAAGAAAGTCTAATTCTCAAAATTCTGACTTCTGCCGAGTAAAAAACGGTAGTATCGATGCTTCAATATCCATATAAAAATATCCTTCATAACAAATTACTCAAATTGTTTCAAGAATTGTCCCAGATCGTGACTGGTATCTACTAGGAACTTTACTTATACATTTCTTTGGCAGTTATTAATTCTGCTTGTAAAATTAATCAAAAAATAATAGTTGTATATATTGCTTTATTTTTATCTGTGAACTCTACTTATACGGAAAAACTAGATGCAAGAGTATCATTACAAACGAAATATTTGTAATATTAAAAATGAATATAACCCAGATCTATTAACAATAAACAAAACTATAAATGTCCTAATCTAGTCTCGTAAAAGTCAAATTAATAATATTTTTTACCATATACAGATTAAGAACACTTATTCTGTACCTAACCTAGTAGTTTTAAAAACTATTTATAAACAGAAAAATTCAAATGATATCAGTATAGCTGAGCTAGAGCAGATCAGAGCGGGCAGCGACCGTGGGAGAGCCGCACAAATCTCCGCATCTCAGAACAGGTCGGCAGGTGTGCGCGCACACACACCAACACACCACAAACCAGAACCACTTATGAATGAAGCCTACGTCGCAACATCCTCACGCACACAACCACCAAACAACTCGCTTGTTTATCTCTGATTTATTTTATTCGAAGCCATCAAGACTCAAAAAGTCCGCTATTAATTTGTTCACCGGTACCCCGTATAAATAGCGTAGATAAAGTAATTAATTCGTCCGATAATGATCTCGGATGAGTAAGTAAAACCGTCTCGGTAATAAGCAACTGAATTGAAAAGCTTTCCTCTAACAAATTAAAGTTCGCTTCAAAAGTCACCGCCGCTGATCGAGTCGCTAATAAATCGATTCTAAATATAATTCATACTGTGTTTATACTTTGAATGTGTAAAATGGTGAAGTCTCTAAGTAAATAAACATTTTGAAGCTTTTCACTATTATTATGTAAATATGGCGTTCCACGTCATATCTTCATTTAACTGTATCAATTCCTTAAGGTCCCGTAATGAGACGATCGTGGCGGTGGTCATTACACCGAACGAGATCTGTTAACAAACTGGATCGAAGCCTACGCGTGTAACAGATAAACAAAGGTCAACGAAAAACGATGCATCTCTTAATTAACATTTCACGATACAAAATACGTGAAAGCGACCGTCGTATGTTATGATAATGTCAATTAATGGTTTCGTAGTCTTCTTCGAGGCTGAGCTTATCATCGTTCATGTAATCTATATTTTCATTAAACTTGCATCTGTTAAAAGCTCATATGGTTTTCTTTACTGGCGCCGCTAGATAATTCGTTGAATTATATTTTTATTAATGTTACTTTTCTTTGTGAAAATCTGATATGTAATTCAAAGTTACTAATAGGTTTATTATGAAGAAGAAAAATCTTTGTCTATACTAATATTATAAAGACTAAAGATTTCATTGTTTGATTGCATTGAATTGGCTTTGTAACTACTGGACTGATTTTAAAAATTCTTTCACCAATACAAAGCTATAACATAGATTTTATTTTGAAAAATAATATGGCGTTCATGGAATCTTAACAATATCTATTGTGTCTTCCTAGAATTAGATAAAACCGATTTCTTAAAAGAAAGAAATATTTAATAGTCAAGTACTTAATACCGACTAGAGTATAAGGAGAAAATTGTTGAAAACTCTTTACTATATTATATTTTCTTTTACAGACATCCCGTCGCAGGTGCCGCCGCTCACGCCTGGCACCAACAAGAAGATGGCCGAGGCGCTGAAGGCTACCTTCGCCTCTTGGGAGAAGGAACAGCTGCGCCTCGGCGTGCCAAAAGGTTGGTTTACATTTAAGCTTTGATTGGGCTTAATTCCTTTAATAAAACAATAAGATTTACAAACGTTATCTTTTGTAAAAAACGTTTTAGATCTTATATTAATTTATTAATACGTGTATCATAAGTAGGTGAAATAAATTAAATTACTATCTTCAATTTTAATAACTTGTAAAATATTAACCATTTGAAATAATGTATCATTATGTATATATGATTATTATTGATTAGAACATTCTGGAGAAGTGGAATAGTTTTTTTTTCAATTTGTCAAATGATATGTGTAGCTTTCTTTGTTTCTAATAACAGAAATTAGAGTGATTCCAATAATTATTGAAAGAAATTTGGTAATCAGTTTTATATTGATACAGAATAACTAATTATTGTTGTAATTAGAAAAATAAACCAAAGACGCCTTTAATCTTGACCGATTTTAATTCTCATTCATTAATAAAAAAAATGCCTCTCTGTATTTGTCAGTGTCTCCTTTAGTTAGTTTCGATTTACACCTTAAAGATATACTTCAAATAAGTAACTGTTACGAGTATTTCAGCGTAATACATACATATGATGGTATCGTGCAGTCTCTTACCTGTTTTTTAATCGTAAACCGTTCCATTTGAAAACGTTAATGTAATTTAACGATCAGGAAGAAAAAGCTATAAAGACTGAAATAATTTATGCACTCCAATCGCTTTCATCTAAGAACTTACAGATAAATAAACGATTGAAAATGAAGTGCGTTTAAAGATATTAAATCTTATATTTTCGGCGGTTTTCAAAAAAAGGAGGAGGTGAGAACCACTTTTTTTTTCGATTCGACCGTGTTTTTTTTCGGTATTTATAGTCGGATAGTAATATATACTTATCGATTTGAAAAATGTTTTTTTTGCACTCAAAAGAGTAGAGTGTCTGGTTGGTTCCATAGTAATTTGATTTAAGTCTGTGTCATCAATGTGGAAGATATTCCAGGGATCTCCTTAAAAATACTACAGAATAGGCTCTGCGGTTAAGTTTTAATGATGTATATACCTACTTAACTCTGACTATGAGACTGAATTGTGATTGGCTCTGAAGACCTTCAAAATCTGATGACCTGATGTGGAATAATATGTCGTTATTGCCAAGGCGATAGGTCAGGTACCAACCTACTAATCGCCCAGGTACTTACGACGTATTGTTAAGTTAATTCTCAAATATTTTTAACTTTTCGTATTTTTACTTTAAAGTCGGTTTTGTTTTTTTTTATTCAATAACAATATCCATTAATAAGTCACCGGCGGCAATTAAGGCCCGTCTATAGATACGTCGTTTTATGCATGCGTTGGGAATAGCTCGGTGGCTTAGTGGATAAGCACCGCGACCCACGATCGTTGTTGTTAAGCAACTTTCGCAGTGGTCAGCCACGGGATGGGTGACCAAAAATTATTTCGTGCGTGCACGCCTTCCGATAATTTCGGAATGTTTCTGTAACAAAGCTAAGCCGTTGGTACCGGCTGCATTTTGCACTCGTTTATACCGTCCACATTGAGCCCGTCGCAGAGGGTTATTCTTCTTAACCATCCAACCATAAGCAAGGGCTGAACTCTTGCAATGTAGATGTAAAGAGGGCTGATAATAATGATGATGATGCATGTCTGAGTATAGTTTGAACAAGAATAGAAGTATATTAACACGAAATTACAAAGGCGATTAGTTTCAGCACTTGAAATTTCAATAAAGTCTTTGGTACTATCTGATTTAAATATGTATCATCCCCTTTTGTTTGTTGTGCTAATAGGTAGCTTAACTTGAATTAATGTAAATAGCTGACATTTTATAACATACGTCGAAACGATCTCTGAAATACGTAACAATGATAAAAATAATTCATTGGACATACGACGTAGTGCGGTCGGGTTGTGGTCGGACGCAAGCACTTGTGTCGTATCAAGTGTAGCGTGCAACACTTACACGGTTACCTACTGTTTGAACACTATTAATGAATCAGCATGTTGCGGTCGTTAATTATTATACGCTACTATAACTAGATATATGCTGAATGACAGACCTTTTCGGTCATCACTGCATATTGTTAATTAAACTCGCTTGCAACCTGTACCGTTCCCTGAGTCCGTTCCTCGGTGCGATTTTTACTGTGGCATAAGTAGATTTCAGAACGTTAACGAAGTCCAAAGCTGAGCTGTTTTATTATAATAATTTTGTAGTAGCGTGTATTAGTTTCAACACATATGCATGTATATGTGATATATGCTGTTGCAGGATCTTTATATTAAAAACCAACACCAAAAAACACACACACACACACACACACAAACACACACACACACACACACACACACACACACACACACACACACACACACACACACACACACACACACGCGCGCGTATTTAAACTTGTACAAGGTAAATGCCCTACATTGAGAATTTCCCGCCCCTTAGTAATGTTATATACGGAATACTTATTTCTATTTTTTAAGAACAACATAAGATAACCTTATTCTTTTTTAGTTTTTGATCTTGCAAAACAAATCAAATAAATAATTATTTCGGTTTCATTTGTTGACTGCAGGTGTTGAATCGTATTTTAGTTAATTTTTAGTATACGAGAGCTCAAACTTGGGTCACCTTATGACACTTACCTTAATACCAGCTATAGCTATCGAAAATGCACGTAAATTCAGTCAAATGTAATCATATAACTGTCACCGTTCTGACATCTACCGTATCTTTGAAGCTATTATTATTTCTATATATTTATTAATGAACAGGTAATAAAAATAACTCTTTATTAATACTGGAATTTGCAGTCAGCTCTACGAATTTGCTTCTGTCTTGCGCCATGCGAAAACACCAAATTGTTCGACGCTAGCTTTATCAAAGTATTAGTTAAGTAGGATTATTATATTTTATCATTCACAATGCTATATTGATACTTAAAGAGAAATGCTTACTTCAAATGAATCTGGACATAGGACTGCTTTCTTTAAGTTAAAATTAATATATTTTTTAACAAAACCCTCGCGAAAACAAAGCGTTCGTATTCAAACAATTTAACGGCCATTAAACTCGACACAAACAAACGAATGTTAGTTTCAGGTGCAAGTAAGTTACAAGCAAAAACTGTTAACCGTCCGTACAGTGCATTAACATATATGTAAATGCACGTCGCGACAGCACCTATGCCTTTGTTGGAGCGATCGCTACGAATATGTACGGACTCCATGACGTCGACTACCTTTTTTTGGCGTCTAGCATGAGAGGTAGGGTCACCAAATAGACATCTATTCATTATGTCAGCATGAGCTTGTTGAATATCAAAACCTATAGTTTAATTATAGTAACTACCTTTTTTTAGTTCTGCTCATTTCCGTAGTTCTACTGATTCGTCTAATATTTTTCAAGTTTCTTAATTGTTTTTTAAAACGTGGATATGAAAATGTACATAAACATATGGCCATGTAAAAGTTATGTTGTCATCAAAAGCTTATTTATTTTGTAACATCACCAATGGTCTGAAGTAATTCCAAGCGGTTCTCATTTTTTTTTGTACCAATTGTAACAAATACAATATTAACCATCAATATTGAAGTAGCTCGATAAGACTAGAAAAATTAACTAGAAGTAGAAGTTTCAGAATCTTTCATATAAGATAAATCTGAAAATTTTATTTATTTAGTTCCCCTAACCTCCCACTAGATGGCATTAGGTGTCGCCCACAGGGCACAGGTGGCGAGTTCGTCGGCCGCGGCGGAAGTGCGTGCGTCTGAGCGGCGTCTATTCGCGCTTCCGTTGCGCTTGCGCATAGATGCCACGCGGAACCGTACGCAGGACGTCGTTAAATATAAATAGTCGTTAATAGTTTTATAGAAAAATCTAATCATAACATAAAGCTCAGGTGTATTTTTTATATATTTGAAAATTCCTAATTTAAATGTCATATACTTACATTACAAATTAGGAATTTTCCCGATCACGAGATCTTCCCAAGAAGCTTGCTCGCTGCCTATGCTGTTTCGATTTAAAGATTAAACTTTCTTATTCTTATGCATATTAATTTTCGTTACAATACAATTCAATTTAAAATTGCCCATATATACATAATGAAATACAATTTAAAAGCTCTTCTATGACTGTTTCGTCGATTACGGTCAAATAAATCGAGTAGATTAACATTAATATTATTTGTAGCATATTGATTTCTTTTTCTGTTTTCATTTTCACGTTTTAAATAATACGAATAAACAATTACAGTAGTATCTGAAGCGGATTAGTTTCAAAAGTGTTTCCAATAAACAGAACACGTTATCTGTAGGATTATAAACATTCGTATAAAAGTAATCGATCGCCCAACATCAGGATCAATTAGCAATTAAAGTTGTCATATCGGCCCGGCCGGTTTAATTGTTTGGAGCAATAAATGGGGCTGTTAAACACAAATCGATTTGTCGGGTCCAACATTTAGCTCAGTTACATTAAGATGCTAACATTGTAGCTAATTATAACTTAACGCTTGTGCACTTAACATATTTAGAATTTCAGTCATAGTTTTTTTTTTTATTGGTTTGAAATTGTGTATTACGTTTATTTATTTACAAACATTTGAATTGTTAAATCATTCCAATAAGTAATTTTAATGTCGATTCTTCTTGAATCTGTACTTTCTACATGAAGCCTTCTTAAATGGGCTCGAAGTCACTCAGAAGGCGATAAAGAGGGCTTTTAAGCTCGCAGACGAACCAAGGTGACTGACATGCACCGAAAAATGCGAGCCTAAAGATTTTAGGCTCGTTGACGAACCGAGGTGACTGACATGCACAGAAAAATTGCGAGCTTAAAGTGCGCATGACACTTAATTCGTAGAACAAATAGATTTTGGTACAGTCAGTAAAGTCCTCCAGCGTCGATCACGAACCGGAAAAGGAAAGTAACATATACTATTATAAAGACTTCAAGAACTCGCAACTTGAATATAAAAAAAATGCAATGATGATTCTAAA